GAGAGCCTGAAGGCCAGAAACCCTAATTCATATTTCCACCAGGATCAGAGCTAGCAATCAAGAGAAGATTAGTCCTCAATAGGATCTAGTCTTATATTAGAGATAGAGAGATAGAGTGTGAGGGAAGAGTTTGGAGGAGGTGTCAGTCTGTTGGTGCTCTCTCTATGTCTTGAACCCTAGCGGAATCAAGTTCTTCTTGAGCTTGCTTCTGAGATTTCTCTAATAATCAACTTCTAATTCAAGTAAGCATCTTGTTTATATTGTTCTTTAGGTTTGCGACTCTTTTTGAGTACTTTAATCCTTGTAACTCCTGGGTTAAATTAGTATTCGTAGTGTAAGCGTGGTGCTTAGACTCGGTTACTCATGGATGTACCCTACTTTTTGGATCGGTGGTAGCTCACGAGGGTGACCTTATAGCCTCGTTGAATCCTCTGTAGTCCACCTCCCATTTGTAGGCCTAGCAGGACCTTGTTACTATAGGAAACATACTCTGCCTGTGTTTTCTTTAGTAATATCCTCAGAATTGAACAATAGAAGACAAAGCTTATCGAAAGTTAGAACTAGAAGACCTTTGCAATCTCCTTTATATTCCTGTTATCTAAGCCTTGTTGCAAAGTTGGGTTAAGTTAGATTTAGTTATTCTCACACACGTTTTCCTTTATAAAACTGGGATACTCCCGGTGAAGTGCTACATCGGTATAATATCCGTGCGCTTGCGGATTATTCTGTGTGCGTTAATATATACCAACAAGAGGCAAAGCCATCCAAAGCCTAGGACCACCTCGCACACCCAAGCCAAAAGATCTCGGAAGGCGGGGAGGCCACAAGCTATGGATTTGGGGGCCGCACTAGCTCATCCTCCCCTATCCGCAAAACTCCTTCTAGCACTAGTCGTTAGAGGGAGCGTATCTAGGTTCTAGCTAATGAAACCAACCCGTCAACGGGTCACATGGTTGGAACCTCATAGTTTTTTGTGAATTTCTCTCTCTTCCCCTCTCTTAAACTCAACGTCTCAAAAAGGAGCTAAGTAGACACGGCTGAAGGTGGTTTGAACGGTAAGGAGGCACCTATTTATAGGCCCAAAGATGGACTGAGCAGCCTGAAGCCCCCACATCGTGTGGTGCGCCACGAGAGGCCGCAACTGATGTTAGACGCCCGCGCGAGGTCGAGGAAATCGAGACCCTCCTAAGGGCAGGGCCGGTACAATATCGGCGAGGCCACTCGGCCCCGCCTAGGTCACTAACCTCGATACGCAGCACACTGACATGACAGGGGTTAGCAGTCATGTACCGCATCTCTAGGACGTCTTGACGGGGCGGGACGAAACAACCACCTACCGCATTGAATGCACAAGCCCGCAAGGGGTCGAGCGACGAAGCTCGGACAAGCCATGACTATGAACCCGCACTCAACATACACGCATTTCAGCGCTTTCACGATCACTTCATGATCACAAAAACGCTCGGGGGCTACTGTCAGGGTTATGATACCCCGTGTATCTCAAGGCACCGATTAGATTGCCGCTCGGGCGGTGCACGATACACCGGCTTGCATAATCCCAGATGATCGAGGCCTAGCCAAGCTGAGCGGGATGAACCAAATACTAAGGTCGGGGTCAGCCACGACCCCTCCTTCCTGCCTTAGCCGCACGCTATGCAGCAGCTCACGACCTATCGCCGTCCTGACCCCTAGGAAGGGACGGGAGAGATCGAGCCCACAAAGCGCGCCTGCTCTGACAAGAGCAGGCACGCCACCCTGACCCCGTAAGGACTGAGGGGACAGCGGTCACCTTGGTCCGATCAGATGCCATCCCTGCACCACGCAGCGGGGACAAGACAACAACACCGAGCAGTGACGACAGGTACGGAGAACCACCGTCCAAATACGACCCGACAAGATGTACGTACGATCCCACCCACTGCGAAATGGGATCCACGACGATGGCCTTGACTTAGAGGCCATCCAAGCCAACGAGGGCCACGACCCTAGAGCCCGGGTCGTAGCCACCAACTCCACCACAACAAGACAATCAGTGACTCGGGGGCAGCTACTTACTCTCGTACGACGCCCCCGGATGATCAGGAGACGATGACGATGACCACGGCAAGACCATGTCATGCAGGACGGCTGGCAAACACCGCCGTGCCCACAGTGCCACCATGACGGGCATTGTGGCACCACGTCACGCCATGCCGCGACGTAAGCACAAGACCATGACGACAGCCACGCCAAGACGTGCACCACAAGACGGCGTTACTTGCAAGCCATGTTAGCTAGGCCCCCTCCCTTGAGCTCACGGCTCTTCGGTCGGGAGAACCTCCTTCTTTGTATGTAACCTGGCCCCGGACTCTATATAAGGGCAACCAGGGCACCCTTCCAGGACATCGAACTCTCGATACTCTCATTCGGGCAGTCCATCTCCTACCCCTTCCACCACTCTTGCACCCCCCATTGTAAGAACTTTAGAGCATTCAAGCGAGAAACACGCACTCGATCATCTCTGAGACTGGATGTAGGGCTCTGGCCTGAACCAGTATAAATCCTCGTGTCTTTTGGATGCTACCATCATCTTTCTATAGCAGCACGACATTTGTATAAATTTACTAGTTCAGTTTACAAAACACCGACACTCATCTAGCGACATTAGCAAGTAATTCCTTTGTTGTACTCAACAACTTATGAGACAGCTCTACCAAGCAGCGACGGAGCCAGGAATACAGGGGAGCAAGCTAAGCCAAACGGATAGTACGTAGTCATGAAACGGGTATATATAAGTTTTAATATAGCACAGAGAACATGTAACCGATGTCTAGAGATTGTAAATAGAAGCATGGAAATTTCCTCAAGGAGTAATTAATTTGGTATCTTCCATGTTTTTAGCCAACATGTTATTACAATATCCAAATTCCTGATGAATACTTTATTTGTCAGTTTTATCATATTTTATGAAATTATTCACATGATGCATGATCAACATGAATTCATACACCTCCTCCTTTTTGTGTTTTTATTACTCATGTAATCAATTGTTAACAGTGAGTTAGAACCACTAAAATAGTATATCTGTAGCTGTTGCTCTTATATATATAGAAGTGAGAGAATAACTATTCGGATACTATCTACTGAACTTTGAACATGGCATATTATAATAACACATCTACACGCTAAAATTTGTTTATACCAATTCATAAATGGAAATAGAAAAATATATTTTGTCGTAAGAAAATTAAAAGAAAAGAGCGAGAGTACACACATATATATAAGAAAAGAACTTCTCTTGTATGCTCTCATGATCCTCAGTCCTCAACATGTTGCAAGATGTTAAATTAATGAATCAGCTATTTGAAAAAAAAAATATTCAATAGGTTGACAATCCGGTTCAAGCAAAGGATTGTTGTAGCATTCAAATTTTATCCTACAGAGTGTCACTGTAGATGAACATATGGAATTATGGATCTCTAGTCCAACCCATAAAGACACTGTATGCTAGCTTTTTATAGAGGTATTTGGTTATTTACCAATAGTATTGGTATCTCTCCTCACTTTTAGAATAATTCTTTTTCTTTTTGCATGGATGGATTATTGCTTTTGTTTTTCTTTTTGCGGCTTGCCAAGAACACTAATGAACGTTTGGAAACGGTCGAGTAGGGGACAAGGGCAGACGATCGTGAGTCATGCGAGCGGGTCAGCTCACCCGACCAGTGCTTTTGTTTAATTAATTATTGATTGGGTTGGCCGGTTGGGGGCTACGAAAGAATATCCAGCTGTAGTAGAGACGAGAGAGAGAGAAACGCCGAAAGCGATGAGGCCTGATGCATAAGCTCTGACGCGTACTCCACGCTGCTGACGGCGCCGGCCGTGAGATAACGACGACACTGCCTGCCCGCGTGGCGACCGGTGGAACGAAACCACGGGCGCGGCGGAACCACCGGACACAAGGGACCTCTCTGGACCGTTGCGATCATGTCGCCCCGTGTTCACTTTTTCCCTCCTACCGATGGGCGACGGGGGACTGGGGAGGGACACGGCACGCCCCTTGTCCTCCCACCACTTGCCCTCGAATCAACCGGAGTGTGAATCCCGGACTTCTGCGTCGTTACACTGCTTTCTCGTCAACGGTAGCAAACGCTCAGCGCCCGTTGCACGGAAAAAAAATAGACTAATCACAAAGGAAAAAAAACATAATTATGTTATATTCTAGTGAAATTCTGTTTTTCTTATTAACACAATTTTCAAAAAATACTCTCCATTTTAAACTGTAAGTCATTTTGGCCTTTCTAGGGTAAATGGCTTTTACTATTTTTTTCGATATAACTTATACTTTTAAATTTTTCGCACGAAGTGTATCTGCAAAATCTTTATTCAAGCATGAATAGCACACAGCAATACTAGTATACCACTCCACAGTGCATGACTGAATTAGTGAGAAAAACTGGAAGAACACGAGGAATTCAAATGTTGAGGCAATCAAAAAAAAAAAGTCAAGTGATACAGAATATGACCCCACGTTGAGATTACAAGAGTAACACCAGATGGGATACAGAACATGACCCCATATAGCAGTTATTTTTTTTAAAAAAAATAAGGGCTTCTAAGGATGTTTTTCCAGTGAATTGGTACCTTCTCCAGCATTTGTAGAATTTCTACCAGGAGATGCACCCTGTCCAGCGGTGCCGCCGTTCATACTGGGTTCACAGCTAATAAGCACCAAATTGAGAATTAAATAACTACAAAGTTGGAGGTTTCATGTTCAGCGGTCAACATGAAAATTGAATGTTGAATCAATCTATAAAAACACTTGCTAATCGTACACCCCCGTCAGCCAGTTAACGAAAACAACAGACATTTTAGAGTCACATCTAGAAAGAAAATGGCATGTATCCACACATGAAAACATGCTGCTCAATTAAACAAATAATCACATGACTCAGCATATTCTACCTCGAAAATACACAGGAACTTTGAAGAATTAACAACTGTGACATGCAGAGTGTCTTCATCTAGCCTGAAGGAATGTCATCTGGAACTGAAAATTGAAAGGGGTTGAAGAGTTATATTGCTGAAAAATAAACAGAAACTCTAGATGAAGTGGTACTCACTGCTAAGAATAAATCCCTGCAGCAAATTCTCAGCTTTGCTAGCCTGCTCAGGGGTACCAGATATTCGAACAACTTTCTCCAAGATGTCAGGTCTGTCCTCAGCTAGCGTTACAGTAGCACCAGAGATCTGTTTCCAAAAAAAAAGTTAATGCAACAAGAGGGTAATGATTGTCCGCCTTTTGGTACTCAATAAAATTCAGGATACATCGCACCTCGCTTATTTGAGCAAGCTTGCTACCAGCTCTCATGGTGAGGCTTGCAACAGCACTGTTTGGTATGACAACTTCTAGTGTGCTCCTAGTCACTAGAGGAACAGCAAATCTGCTGGAGGGCAAAAAAGGTGATCAAAGGAATAAACAACCATAAGAAATAACTGCAAGGATAAAATATTACCTTTTTGTAGCACTTTGCCTGATATCATCATTAATGCTGCTGCCTTGCTCAAATGAACCACTTGCACTGCCTCCACTATCCTGCAATTGAAAATGAAATATTGCACAATTCAAACACAATTCCTAGAAATCATCCAAGGTAACATGTGTTAAGGGTATTAGTGTAATCTCCCTAGTCTAGGGTTTCTCTCCTGTATCCCCATGTATTCTATATTTAGTCCCCCTATTAGGCCTCAATATGATAATCCAGTTCAGTCTCCCTTTATTCATAACATGGCCCTTTATTCATAACAACATGAACTACAAGTAACCATTGCATATTACCAATATTATGCACTATATGATAGCGTAATGTTTCCCCATCTTCTTTGATTATTTCTAGGATTGTTTTCTGAAGCAGAATGCAGTGTTGCATGCAAGGTTGCTAATGATAGTTAACTAACAGTTAAAGAAATAGCTGTGAGCTCATTTGAGAAGAAATGAAGCTTAGTGGCTTATTGAAAGATGGGAGTCCGCGCTGTTGTAATATAAGTGAATTGCCCACCTCTTCCCATCAGCTTAAGCTGTTGGGTTGAACTAGTTGGTGCATGCAACTCAATATGGTATAAGTGCTAGAGGTCTCGAGTTCGAATCCTGGTTAGTGCAATTCTCGCTCCTATTTCACGTCTGAGGCCTGAGGGAGCCTCCATGTGAGGGGGAGTGTTGTCATATAAGTGAATTGCCCACCTCTTCCCATCAGCTTAAGCTTTTGGGTTGAACTGGTTGGTGCATACAACTCAATAAGCACAGAACTTGCAAAAAAAATAAAGACCATCGGTATCATTAGCGTCTTTTAAACAAAAGTCTGATCATGTATAAACATCTTTTCCTAATGGCATAAAGGAATTATTTGTATAATAGACCTACCTTTGAATGCCATGAAGTTGCCAGTTGTGCTGCTTGGTGATAAGTACCAATTGGAATATCATTTCCCTGGTATGGTCCTCGAGGTGAACCTGCTACTGGAGAAATGGCTCCATGTACATTGATATTGCCAACTTGAATAGGGCCAGACATCTCACGGTATAGAAAACTCCTTAATTTTGTTGTTACTTGTATCAGAGCATTCCGAGCAGCTCTAATCTCTCCAACAATCTGCAAGAACATAACATGCTCAACCACCAGAGTGCTAATGAACTTAAAACTTGAAACTATTTAAAAGTAATGATTCATGCCTGAGAAATTTATGATGGCATGTGTAATAAAAAAAATCCTTGTAAACAAGCTACTGATCTGTCTTAGAAAAACAATAGCTTCTAATCCAATCTGTTCTAGCATATTCACAAAGAAACAACAATCTGCAGCCATCATAAGTCCAAACTGATCACCATTGGAACTAACTCCCAAATAAATTATGCATAACCATTCAATACATGAAAGTCTTTTCCTTGGATAAAGGCAAACCTGTATGAGTTCATCAGACTCTAAAGCGCATGATGGAAGATCTTCTCTTGGTAATATCTGCACGTTTGCACTAGTCTGTCTCTGTATATCAGATAATGACCCCTCCCTTCCATCAAAGCAAGCAATTTCACTTGAAGGTACAAGTAGTCTTGTTGTGATAATGTTATCCTTGTCCGGGCCAAGGTCTACAATATGAGTTTGAATGTGCAGCACTGCTTCCTGAGCCGGGAAAAGCTCATGGTCTGGGCCCTACAAAAAAAAATATATACACAAGCTAAATATACAAACATGGACCCTTTAGGATGGGAAAAAGCAATCTCACAAAACCAGCTAAGACAAAGGGCTTGTTTGCTTTGCAGACTGGGATACCTGCCTGGCGCAGGCAGCTCTCCCAGGAGTCCGAGGAGCTGGATGAAGCTGCCTGGCTGTGCTGCCTAGGCCAGGTTCCCAACCAAACAGCCCCAAAATGCAAATAGACAGGCATTCCCAAAGTAAGTAGTAGTAGGATGTTTAAACCAATAACAATATAGTGATGACCTGAGGTCTTCATTTTGTTTTTGGCTAGATGCATACAGTTAAGATGTTTGTAAGTCCTCCTTTGTAACCCTTTAAAATTTATAAAATGAAGTGCTGTGGGGATCTCCCCCACAGTTTTTGCCTTAAAAAAATATAGGAATTTGGAATGAAAAAATAACAAGATAGTCATGCATCGTGACAGAAGGGCAAACTAACATTACATGCAAGCACTGCTGTAAAATTGCACAACCAGACAACCAGTGCTCTCAAAGCATTAAGGCGAGGCAGTAAAGCGGACACCATACACACAGATAAATTAGAGAAGAAAATGATAAGACTACCAATAGTCCATAACCACAATAATAAATGAGCCTATTACCCTGTAAAGCCCAACCAAAGCCAACAGCCCATAAAGAACCCCTCCCACTTCACGTGACCTACCTTCTCGAATCTATTCCCCTGCTGCACTGCTTCTCCAGTCCCTAACGCCACCGCCGCTGCCATCACGCTGGAACCAAAAAGGATGGGGGAAGGAGGAAAGATAGTCGTGCTTCGTGCTGGTTCACCTCCTGCTCTTTTTTCTCTGAGGCCCTTCTTTCCTCTCTCCTCCCCTCTTTTGGCTAGGCATCAGTGACACCTTGCCCCCAGTGAACACCTAGTCGCCTAGGCGACGCCTTTGTAGAGACACACCTCACCCAATATGGGGGGGGGGGTGACCTTCATATATATAGCCAATATGGCTGGGTATACAAGGAATACAATCAAATATACATAGCAGGTGCTAATCATAGCTAATCACACATAGACTTGCCTAATACCCGCCCGCAGTCTAAGCGGGAGGATCCTGAGACATAGATTCCATGGACTGAACTCATCAAATAGCTGTCTGCAGAAGGCCCTTGGTCATGATGTCTCATGAATTCGGTGAGAGGACGGCACATGAAGGACCCGAACTTGGCCCAAGGCGACCTTCTCACAGACGAAGTGAATATCAATCTCAATGTGCTTCGTTATGATGATGATGAATGAGGATTGGTTGTCATGTAGACAATTACCGACATTGTCGTAGTAGACAACCGTCGCCAAGCAATGGGAACATGGAGCTCTTCGCAGAGGCGGCGCAAGCCGAAGAACACTCGCCACCACATGAGCAACAAAGACGGTACTCGCTTTCGCAGACTTTGGGCAGAGACCGTGGGTTTAACGCTTGAGGACCAAGAAATCAGATTGTCGCCATCCGAGGTAGACACAATAGCCGGAGGTGGAGCGCCGAGAATCTGGGCAGCCCGACCCGGTCGGCATCGGAGTAGGCGACCAGGATCTAACAGGGCCGACACCAATGTGGAGGCGGAGGAGAGAGTGCCCTTCGGTAAGCGTAGAATCCGCTTGATCATCGAGAGATGTGGCTCATGAGGATCATACATGAAGAGGCACACACGCTGGACGGCGTCCATGCCAAGTCGGACGGTCGTCGTGAGGTAATCTTGGAGTCGCGCCAAGAAGGCTCGTCATCGTGACGCGACGGATTCCCTCCGGTGTTCGATGTCACTTTGGTCATAAAGGGCACCGGCGGTGGCGTAAAGCTTGGCATGAGTGTCAACAGTATCGTCAGAGAGTGACACTCGGACCATGCCGCTGCCAAGTGAAGGAGCTCAACGACGTCTCGTCATTGTGATAAGAATAAGCCGTCGGCGAGGAGTGCGAGTGACGGAGGTGCCGAGAAAGTGATGTAGTGCGCCCGGATCGGTGGCAAACTCGGAGTGGAACAAACGACGCCCAATGATCTGCTCAGAGAAATGCCGTCGAGGACGCCAGTAGAATACGATGTCGTCGACGTCTGATGCGTGAGTAGGCGATCATCGGTTCCATCTTTGTAGACAAAGAGAGAGGTGTCTTCCCGAGGCGACGAAGCGGCCGAAATTGTATGCGGGCGAATGTATGTCGCCCTTCAAGAAAATCGCCGGTACCAAGCTCGGGAGCCTACTTGAGGCCAGAGAGGAGCGCCGCAATGCATACACACATGATCGAGAAAACAGGATCGATCGAAGCACGGGGCTGCTAGCGATGAGACGGTCTCCTCCAGATGTCCATGGAGAAAAGCGTTCTTGACGTCTAGTTGATGAATAGGCCAGGTAGCGTGGCGCAGCAATCTTGAGGACAGCCCGAATGGTTGCCGGTTTGACCACCGGGCTGAATGTCTCGTCGTGAGTCGATCTTGGTGGCGCCGGGAGAAGCCACGAACCACCCAAATGAGCCTTGTGGCGGGCGGGTACCATCGGAGTGGTACTTGTGCTTGAAGATCCACTTGCCGGTGACCACGTTGGCGCCGGTTGGCGAACACGAGGCGCCATGTTCGTTGTCGATGCGCGCCTTGTACTCCTCGACCATGGCCGCACGCCTTGGCTTTGATCAGCCAAACCGCTACTGAGAGTTGGAGGGAAGTGGAGACGAGTGGTTGTCGCAAAAAGAGCCCCACATACCGCATAACCGTATGGCCCAGGCATCGGGTCCGCGTGATGCGTCGTTCTCATGCTGTCACGGGAGGTGCCGAAGGAGCTGCGCGCACGTTGCTATATATTGAACAGGGCGAAGGGCTGCTCTTGAGCAAATGCGAGAGCCGATCTCGGTGTCAGAGGATCCGTTATCGCTACCAGAGACGCCGGTTGTAGACAAGCCGGATGTCCATGCTGGACAACCATTGGAGGGCGACCAACTGGAGGAGCAATGGAGCCGGCAAACATTGGAGGAGGAGCAAAATTGCCACCGGAGGAGCAAAGCAGCAGGTGGTGGAGCTGTTGTTGTTGGTGGAGCAAAGAGGAAGTGCAGGGCCGTGGAACAAGATCGCGGGTCGCTCGGTCGCCTCCCTCAATGAAACCGGAATGTGACGGCCCAAAGAAGCAGAGGGCAAGGTGCGGGGACGACGGCAATGTATTACCTACAAGCAAAAATCCAGTGTCGCTTGGCGAGGACACGGAGGGGTAAAGTCCGAAGGAAAACAAGTCTCATCGAAGACCACATGGCGAGAGATGATGACGCGCTTAGTGGCCATGTCGAGGCAGCGGTACCCCTTGTGGGAAGATGGATAGCCGAGAAAAACACATGCTGTGGAGCGAGGAGAGAGTTTGTGGCAAGCCGTGGCCATCAAGTTCGGATAACAGAGACACCCAACGACACGTAAGTGGGAGTACTCGGGAGGTTTGTTGTGGAGGAGAGTATATGGAATGCCATGGCGAACAGCGAAGCATGGACGCCTGTTCAGAAGGTATGTGGCTGTGGCGAGCGCCTCAGCCTAGTACTGAGCAGGCATGTGTGCATGGAGGAGCATCGTGTGATGTTGTTCAATGTGCGAAGAAGACGTTCAGCCTTGCCATTTTGTGGGGAGGTATATGGACACGAGAGGCGTAAATGAATACCACGGGAAGCAAAGAGAGTATGGAGGGTATTGTTTACGAACTCAGTGCCGTTGTCGGCTTGGACAGATTTGATGGCAAGGCTGAATTGAGTGTGGATATAATTGCAAAAATTTGCAATATGTGTGGAGACTTCAGATTTGCGAGTGAGGGGAAAGCTCCAACAGAAATGAGTAAAATCATCAAGTAAAACGAGATAATATTGATACCCGGAGACACTTGCAACCGGGGATGTCCATACATCACAGTGAACAAGTTCAAAAGGCATGGAAGTATATGAACTGGAATCTGAAAAAGGGAGGCGCACATGTTTGCCAAGCTGACAAGAATGACATAGCAGTTGCTCTACTTTATTACAGCTAATGGACGCATTACGACGAAGAATGTCGATGGTGGCGGAGCTGGGATGACCAAGACGGTGATGCCAGAGGTCGGTGGAGATGGCAATGCTAGCGTGTGGAGCGGAAGATGCAGCAGGGAAGGTGTAAAGATCACCAGCACTATTGCAGCGAAGCATCACGCGTCGGGTCGAGATATCCTTGACAGAAAAACCAAAAGCGTCAAATTCTATAGAGCAGTTGTTGTCCCTAGTAAATTGACGGACAGATAGCAGATTGCAGACTAGAGATGGGATAACTAACACATTATTTAGATGAAAATTGGACGCTGGTGTATGAAGAACAGACTTGCCACGACATGAAATAGGAAGATGTCCACCATTGCCAACTGTAATGGAAGAGTGAGGAGGAGGATGACGAGAGAGGAGTATACCATCCGAGGAGCTCATGTGGGAGGAGGCGCTGGAATCCGGGACCTGTGGATGCTGCCCCGGAGATGCATCTCGATTGAGTGCAAATGCGACAAGACCATCCTGGTTCCACATGGGAGCCGGGTGGAGAGACGTGGAGCGCGCAAATGTCGTGGGGGCTGCGGCGCGTGGGCGTGTGAGCTCGAGAGGAGGAGGGCGCCAAGCACGCCGGGCGCTTAGCCGGCTTCACCGAAAGCGTAAGGAGGGCCTGTGGCGCCCATGGATTGTAGCAAAGCCGAGGGGGCCCATGGGGCGGTATTGACTAGTCGCCAACGCCGCTGCTGCATGCTTAGATATAGCCATCAAGCCAAAGACCCTTGCCCTTGCCGCTTCGCTGCCACCACCGCCGCCGCCTTGCCGCTGCTGCCCGCTTGTCACGTGTGGGTTGTGTGGACCTCGAGTTGATCCCGTGGCGGCGAGAGAGACCACGGCACCCGGCCCGGGTGCGCCGCTTGAGCGAGCCGCGCAGTGGTGAGGAGGGCGGTCTTGGCGACCGCCTTTTCGCTATTGGCGAGACGGAGCTCCTTTAGGGCCGACATGTCATGGGCCCCGCGAATGTGGGAAGGACAAAGAGTTGGCGATGTCGTCGGCGGTGTTGGAGAAGCGAGGATTGAGGCCGCGCAAAAGGGCGAGGACGAGCTGCGAGTCCTGGACAGGATGGCCGACGTCGCGAAGAGCGGCGGCCTTGATCTTCAGCCGCTGGCAGTACGTCGATATGGTGCTGTCACCTTGCACCATGGAGTGAAATCCGTTGAGGAGGAAAATGGCGCGTGGCTCCCGGTTGGCGCGGAAGATCCCTTCAATGGCCACCCACAGATCACGGGCGGTGGGATCGGCACCGTCCATGGCGAGGTCGAGGACGGAGTCGTCGGCGAGCCGAGAGATCCAACCGGACGCAAAGACTCCGCGGCATCCCACTGAGGATCATCAGGACGAGGGGGAGCAGAGCCATCGATGTGCGAGCGAAGGCCGAACTTGCCGCACAACGACTTGAAGAAGAACGCCCACTTGGAGTAGTTGGATTGCAGGTCCAGTGTGAAAGGCATGTGGGACTTGACATTGACCGTCGCGTAGTTGTGAGCCACGATCGGGGCAGCAGCGCCGGTGCTCATGGCAGCCATGGTTGGAGTGCCTGTCGCGGGCAGAGTGCCGGCACTGGTGGCCGAGGAGGAAGAGGCCATCGGAGATGAGAGGGGGAGTAGAACAGCCGGTGAGGGTGGATGGGAGGGAGGAGGCGCTGTTGAAGCTGCCTTGCAGAAGAGTGAAGGTCGCCGGGAGGAGGAAGTGCGATCGAGAGAGTCACACGGGAGGAAAGGACAGAAAAATAGGATCTGATAGGCTGATACCATGTAGAGACACACCTCACCCAATATGGGGGGGTGACCTTCATATATATAGCCAATATGGCTGGGTATACAAGGAATACAATCAAGTATACATAGCAGGTGCTAATCATAGCTAATCACACATAGACTTGCCTAATAGCCTTAAGAACTTTGTTCTCAACTAAGGATTACCTTAACAAGTCTTTGGAAAGGTTGAATCTCATATTAAACCATATTCAAAATTGAAATAACTGCCTTGAATCATAAAGCTATATTACTTCCTTAACAAGTTCTCAATCCGTTTCTTTTTATAGGGTGCATTAGGATTTGAAAGACCAAACTTTATAAACTTTGACTAATAATTAGTCAAATTATAAGCATCCTTAGAGTATGAAAGTTATATAAATAGATTTGTCTTTCAAAAATCTTTTTAACATGACATTCTTTTGTAGCAATTGATCATACGAAATTGATGGTCAAAGTGTCTCTTTAAGAATTTCCAACTTGGAATATGTGTTAAGAGTATAAGTGAATTGCCCACCCCTCCCCATCAGCTTCAGCTTTTAACTGATCGGTGCATGCAATCAAAGCCAAAGATTTCTAGTCCGAATCCTGGCTAGCGCAATTAAATAAAATAATTGTTGCTCACTCCTATTCCACGTCTAAGGCCGAAGGGAGCCTCCACGTGAGGGAGATTGCTAAGAGTATAAGTGAATTGCCCACTTATCACCATCAGCTTAGGCTTTTGGGTTGAACTGGACGGTGCATGCAACTCAATAATATGCCTTATAAAAAAAAGAAATGATGGAGTACAGAGTACTAACAAAGCTGACTCTCATTGATCAATGGCTAAAAAATTGTTTGGCAGGGGAAACCTTAGGTAGCAACCCAGTAAGTCAGCACCAGAAAATTAACGTATCTTTAGTGAAACAATCAGTATATTGAAGTAAAATAGGACTCCATATTAGGGGGAAATCTATAACAATGGATGGGTAACCTGTAACAGGTAAAATGCATCACAGGTAATTTTCTTCGGGTTAAAAACAAGAGCACCCAGAATTTGTATTAGGAAGAAAACATGCACCCCAATTATAGAGCCAAAGAGGACACGGATCCGGATGCTGGGGACATAAACCCATCACAACAATTGAACTAAGTTCACAAGTTAGTTTGTACTCCCTCCATTCCAAATTATAAGTCGTTTTGGCTTTTATAGATACATGGTAAAAGCCATGTATGTATCTAGATGCTTAGCAAAATCTATGTAGACAAGCCACGACTTATAATTTGGAATAGAGGGAGTACTAGCTTTAGACATTAGCCTCATTTTTACCTAAAATACTTGTATTTTCCATGCAGGGGATATATGTATCTATTACCTAATATGAAAGGGAAAAATTCTCTCCACAAAATTTTCGTCCTTTACTCTCTCTCAAGCCCGTCTATCTGGTTTAATAAGAGTAGTAGTACATGATGAATTTGCGATAAGAATCAATTGGTTTACAGTTTTCTGCCCAGTCTGTGACCCGAACACATGACCCATGCTTGGAGTTAGAACAGCACATGTCCAGTCAGGGTACAGAATCCGATTTCAAGAATGATTGGAACAAATGACGCAAACTGTATATTTTGTAGCAACCCACGAGCATGTCCACTAGTATAACTAATAATGGAATGTCGGGTGAGAAGTTCCCAAATGTCTTCTAGTATTGTACCTGTTAACCTGTCAGGTTCAGACGTGGGTACAAGATTCTACCCGTGGGTATGGGTGCAGGTATGTCGCTTCACTCGTTAGTGCTAATATAACAAAGAATTACATCAATTCTAGTGAGAGAATCTAACCACTCATGGGTACCGTACCTGATGGGTGCCGGTACGGGTACAAAATCCTACCCATGGGTACAGGTGTGGGTATGAAACTTTACCCGATAGGCAATTTGTCGAGGGCAGGTATTTACTCCACCCTAAACCCTAAACCCACTGCCATCCCTAGTTACTTGTATGTCAGCTTATCACTCAGGTATGGTGCCATCATATACATATCTGCAACCACACTCGAGTCTCGACATGTGTAAGTACATTGGGTAATAGACAAGAAAAATCTTCACCAAACACTCAAATATGGAAACCAAAGACGCACAAAAGTATCAAATGCACATCTGATTTACCTCTCTGGATGTGATGATTACTACCCTTTCATCAGAACCAGCAATAATATTAGATAGGCTAACATCAACACCAACATCAGCCTGTAGCATCTCTAGTATTCCATCACGCATTGCAACTAAACTGTCAGCCTTGTCATTTGGGCATAGAATTCGAAAAACGATGTCATCGTACAGGATATCTGCATGTTCAATGACCTTGCCACCATTTGAATCAAACTCATATCCTGGTGGCTCCATGCTAATGTTGTTCCTAATCTGATCAGGTCGTCCCAAAGATTCCTCATATGCGGGCATCTGTTGAACACCACCCAAATATTCATCTTCCTGAGAAATTCGAGGTTCTGGTGAATTCATTCGCCCGCGGAAGGGACCACGATCACGGTGTAAGCTTTCCTTTAGGCGATCAGTGATTATTGCTACAGCCTTCTTAACACAATTTCCATCTCCAACAACCTGAAAAAGACATTATGAGACACACCGTAGACTGAGGAAAGAGTTACGATGAAAGATATTTCCAAAAAAATAATATTATTATCCTTTGGATGCATAAACAATTGCAATGATACAATTGTAATAGAACTACAGATCTATCACATTGCAACTGCAATTACAGAGCACTACGGAGCTTAAGCATTTTTATTTAATATTACACTTATGCAATTGCATTCTACCACTACTAATAAAAGAACAAATAATCTCCGAGCCTGATCTCAAAAGTGGTTTTGCCACCATGATGTACCACGCACTAGGCATGATGGAAACATGTAACTATGCTACTGAATCAGCAAATAAAGAAAACATACTAAAAAAATATGCATTTCTCTCAATCATGTTATCTTCATGGAACAATGTGGAGGATCCAAGTGTCTCAAGCAAGATGCAACAACAAACAACAACAAAGCATTTAAGTCCCAAACAAGTTGGGGTAGGCTAGAGTTGAAACCCAGCAGAAGCAATCAAGGTTCAGGCACGTGAATAGCTGTTTTCCAAGCACTCAAATCTAAGGCCAAGTCTTTGGGTATATTCCATCCTTTCAAGTCTCCTTTTATTGCCTCTACCCAAGTCAACTTCGGTCTTCCTCTGCCTCTCTTCACGTTACTATCCTAGCTTAGGATTCCACTACGCACCGGTGCCTCTGGAGGTCTTCATTGGACATATCCAAACCATCTCAACCGGTGTTGGACAAGCTTTTCTTCAATTGGTGTTACCCCTAATCTATCTCGTATATCATCGTTCCGAACTTGATCCCTTCTTGTATGATCACAAATCCAACGCAACATACGCATTTCCACGACACTTATCTGTTGAACATGTCGTCTTTTCGTAGGCCAACATTCTGCACCATACAACATAGCAGGTCTAATCGTCGTCCTATAAAACTTGCCTTTTAGCTTCTGTGGTACCCTTTTGTCACATAGGACACCAGATGCTTGGCGCCACTTCATCCACCCTGCTTTGATTCTATGGCTAACATCTTCATCTGTAGTATTGATCCTAAATATCGAAAGGTATCCTTCCTAGGCACTACTTGACCTTCCAAACTAATATCTTCCTCCTCCCGAGTAGTAGTGACGAAGTCACATCTCATATACTCAGTTTTAGTTCTACTGAGTCTAAAACCTTTGGACTCCAAAGTCTCCCGCCATAACTCCAGTTTCTGATTCACTCTTGTTTGACTTTCATCAACTAGCACTACATCGTCCACGAAAAGCATACACCAAGTGATGTCCCCTTGTATGTCCCTTGTGACCTCATCCATTACTAAGGCAAACAGATAAGGGCTCAAAGCTGACCCTTGATGTAGTCCTATCCTAATTGGAAAGTCATCCGTGTCTCCATCACTTGTTCGAACACTAGTCACAACATTGTTATACATGTCCTTAATGAGCCCGACGTAGTGTCTCAAGCAAGATGCAGCAGAAAAAAAAAAGTCTTCATCTTCTCCTCACCTCCTCAGTAATATTCAGTACGGACAGTGTAACTCAGGTTATTAGATGCTCTCTAGCCATGTCACAAGTTTCAAACACAATGACAGTAGGGATCATGCTATGGGCAGGCCATCTCATGGGCCATTGTGCTGGAATGGCACAGTAGCACGTTGGTGGAAAAGGATGTGCAACTGAAGGAACCTGAGGCCCAAATGAGCTCAGCTACACAGAACAACTCAAAAGCCCTGGCGAAGACTAAGAGCAAGGTGGTTCAGTGGGGGCCACAGATAGCGAAGCGGAGAAGTACGAGACATGCCATTGATGGAAAAACAATGATGGAGAAAGCCCAAGCTCAGAAAAGGAAGAACAACTTGGAGTATACAGGTAAGAATTCTAAAATGCCTTCTACGTCGATTCCTTTTATTACTGAGATTGCTGCTAAGATTGGTGTTATTGTGAGTAGTAATAATATGGATGTTAGTATGGTGGATGATGATATTTTAGGCGTGTAACAAAATAGCTCTGTTTTTAACGTATCTTGTAGTCATAAGTCTTGTTCTGTTTCAGATAGATGTGTAGAGAAGGCTGCAGGCCCTAGTGAATTTTTAGGTTTTTTACATATATAAATTGTTATGGTGGGCAACGTCTACACAAGGAAGAAGAAGGCCAGTGGCTGAGAAGTGGACCGGGCCAAGGCGCCGAGCTGGGCCAGAGCGCGGTCACCATCGCCACGGCACGCCTAGAGTGTCAGTTGAGCGTCAGTTGCTAGTGATGGATAAATCTCTGTGGTCTTTGTGGTTTTTGCTGCCATCAAGGACAGCATCCTTGACTGGGACAGCAGCAGCAGCATCCTTGACTGGGACAGAGGACAGCGACAGCAGCATCTTTGACTGGGATAGAGGACAGCGACAGCAGCATCCTTGACTGGGACAGCAGCAGCAGCATCCTTGACTAGCATCTTAGCATCTAGGACAGCATCTAGGATAGCATCTAGACATATGCTTGGCTGGCTAGCAGCCTATAAATATGTATCCCCAACCCCTCAGGTTGGCATGGCATTGAGAAATAAACCAGAAAATTGTCCCAACCCCTAGTGTCATCCTCTCTCGATGAGAGTAAGAATTCTGCTACTGCCAAGAGTGAGAATTCAACGACTAACAGCTAGATCCTAGAGTTTAGGAGAGTATTCAGGATATGAGTCATTTGGTTGTTATCCCTTTGCATTAGCTGAAAGTTGTTAGGATTGGAGTATAAGTATTGAACATTTGTGCTTAATAAAGTTTAGCCAGAGACTTGAGATTACTCTCTCTCGCTCTTTGGCGCTACCCTGTTCGGGTTCCTGTTCCCGGTCCGGCAATCCAGGCGCCGAGCACGGCGCCGCCGATCCGCCGCCGGGGAACCGAACCTCGTCCTTCCCCTTCACATCCCTATGCCCTGAGATCCCGAGGTCGTAACAACCTGGTATCAGCGACCATGTCTTCCTCGGCCCCCGTTGCTCCCACCGCCGCCGCTTCCTCCGTGCCCCTCGCCGCCGCCACCACCACCGCCGCGCTCACCTCCGCCGCCCTAGTGCCCACCGCGCCGCTTCCCTATTCCCAGCCGCCGACGCCGCCGGCCTCTCCCGCGGAGGCGTTTAATGCATTGACGGCGGCCGTCTATGGAATGCAACGCCAGCTCGGCGACTTGTCGCTGCGCGTGACGGTGCTCGAGGGTCGTCCATCGCCCTCTTCGCAGCCGTTCCAGTATGGGCTGCCCGGGTACGGCGGCATCCCTACATTACCGGCGTCCGGCCCGACCGTCTCAGAGTACGTCTCCGTGCCGTCCTACCAGCCGCCGTTCCAGCCGGCTCTGCCGCCCTCCAACACCCGGGCGACAACTGCGGGGGCCGTGTTGTCTCCGCCACCGCCATCATCCATGGGTGTTCCTATTACTCACATCTCGTTTCCTCCATCACCTTCACCCGTGCCGTCCCTATGCCCTGAGATCCCGAGGCCGTAACATAAATATAAACTAGTCTGCCCATAGTGGTGATGACCACCCACAAAGTGAGGCGTTAGATAATGTCAATTTAGTTAGGGGGCTGTCCAGTGCACCTCAATGTTATGAGTCACAGGGAGCTGACCCTATCTTCTATACCTAAATAGGAGACCCCCATTACCAATTGCTCTGCGATTTCGTGAAGCCACATCATCAAAAGGCTCCACTAAGTCACTAAGTTCAAACACTAAATTTCATTCCCACCAAATGCCGTCAAGGAACAAAGAGACACCATATATTCTTCTCCACTTGGCTCCTTTAATGCGCCCCTTCAAATCTGTGTCCATGTGAGCGTTATTCTGCGCTATTTGATGCTCAATGATTCGCTATCCTGCTTGACAAATAATCAATAAGCATTTTTCTATTTAGGTAGAACTGTTTCCCACAGCTTGTACTCTGAGCATGGCTGCAATCATCAATAAGAGCATCATCTCGACATACTGCCTTTGACTAGGGATAATTCAGCTGGTAGTGGACAGGAAGATGGGATATCTCAGGATTTTGAATTTAAGCCTCATCTCAATTCTGAATCAGAGGTATGGAACCATTATTGGAATGGTTATTTTGCAACTCTTCAGTATCATAGAACGTAACAGCTTAAGGTCTTTATTATTTGTGAGCTACAAAAAAAAACACTTTGGCCCCCTTTGGAAAAAAGGGAAAGCATAGGAATTTTGGAGCATTTTAATCCTATAGGAATATTTCCTATCTGCCCATTTGGAACAAAGGATTAAACCCTATGAAATTCCTTTGGGTTCCTATGGAATGTATACAAACATAGGAATTTTGTAGGAAAACTAGCATGAGGGGGCGTCATGGAAAACTTTCCTCTGTGTCTATCTCTCTCTTGGAATTTCTGCATTTTTCATGTGTTGCATCCAAAGGACACATGAAACATTCGTGCATCAAGCTGCTGGGGAAGGAGAGTGGATTTGCAGGCTTGGACTATGGATGACCATTTCGTTGCTATTTGATTGTTTCTTGAGATTGGTTTAAGTGTTGTTTCTGGTTTTCATTCAAGCATTGATGGAGCTTAAATAGTAGGGGAACTAGCTTTGCATACAAAACATAGATGCTTGCTGTTTGAGTTCTAATACTGATTTTCATGATATTCTTGCTCAATTAACCATTCGCGGTATGACTTGCATCTTTGAATATTCATTCATGAGTGTTCTTAGTTCTTACAAATCCCTCTTGTTTGACTAACGAAATAAACTACCACATTGTAGGCTGTAGCAATCAATTGTCTTACCTGTACAACCTCCTCGGACAAGGAGACGCAGCGCGGTGTGTGCTGGTCACGTGGCAGGATCCTGATGTGCGTCTTGGTCTCCATCCTCATTTGCTCTATGATCTTCCCGCCTTTGCCGAGCAGGCATCCGACATGCAGCTTGGGCACGATGAGTCGTGTGGTGGTCTTCCCCCTGTCCCTGGGGTCCTTGCCCCTGGGCCCATACTCGCCGTCCTCGTCGCCGTCGTCAGCGTCGGTCTCGAGGATCCGGCGGTGCACCATGAGGATTGCCTCTTGGGCCGGGGAGAACATGGGCGGGCGGCCGTCCGCCTCGCGCCTCGCGCCGTCGACCGTCTCGATGACCCGGACGTAGTCGCCCGCGAAGGGCGGGTGCACAGTAACAAACGCGCCGCTCTCGTCCCGGACCTTGGCAACGAAGCCGGGTGGGAAGCCGTAGGCTTTGCACTCGGGGCACAGGATGCGGAAGGAGGTGGTGGTGGTGGGACCAGCGCCGCCGCCCGCAGCGGCCGACGAGGGAGGAGGAGGAGGCGGGGGCGGGGGCGGCGCGGCGTCGGGGGGCAGGAACCCGCGGCGGTCGGAGCCACCGCCGCCGCCGGGGGGGCCGCGGCGGTGGTAGCTCGAGTTAGCATTCTGGCCGCCGCCGCCGCTGCGGCGGTCGAAGCGCTGCTTGGAGCGGGGCGGCGGGGAGTCCTGGTCGTAGTGGTAGCCGCGCTTGGAGCGGGAGCGATCCATTGCTGTTGGATTCAGGAGCTGAAGCTGAGTTGTTCTTCGTTCTGATTGTTCGAATCGTTTCGGATTTTGAGATGAGGCGCGATCGATTTGGTGCGAACTAGATTGATTAGGGTTTACAAAGGTCGGGGAACCGGCGCAGCCGGAGGGGGAGGGGGGGGAGGAGGAGGGAGGGAGATGAGGCGCCATAGCACCGCCGGTCTCGCGTTGGGGCACGGGATTCGGTCGGGATGGGCTACTGGGTCGGGTTTCCGCGTGGACTACTGGGCCTAGATGGGCCGACCGAGACCGTTCGCTTTGTCAATTAACATTTTTACTCTTTCTCAGGCCGTCTGCAGTCTGCAGTGACACTGATGACTTCACCACCAGACGTGGCACGAGAAAAGAATAGAAAAACAAAAAAATGAATGCAGGTGAAGTGGTCGTAAGACAGTAAAGACTGTAGAATTTTCGAAAACCGAGACCGGAGCTAGCCATTCGTTTTTTGGCAGCCTCTCTACAAAGCCTTCTGTTGGGACGGCCTTTGAGTTTGTTTGATCTCATGGACTACAACAACTAAGTTGGCTACAGGTTAGCTCATAAGGATCCCAATAGATGGACTAGTGGGTTGGATGACAACTGGCCAAAGCCTCCAACTAGTTGTTAGCTCACTAGTCTACAAAACCCAACTAGTTATGGCTAAAGTTGCATCAAATTGGAAAAAAGACACCCATTACCCCTGGTCCCCTAGCCCACACGAATTCAGATACCAGAGCGTTTCCTCTCCCCCGCGACCCTGCCCCGCATCACGGGAGGAACTCCGCTCGTGCCCCGCCGGAGGCGCTGCAGGCACCGCATCAGCCCGCGCCGTGGGATCCGCCCGTGCCGCATCCGCACGCGCCGCACCCGGTCCCGACTCCATGGCGGCGGTGGCAGCGCCGCTCACCATCTTCTACGGTGGCAGGGTGGTCGTGTTTGAGGACTTCCCGACGAAGAAGGCCGCCAAGGTCATGCGCCGAGCTCGCGGCGGCTCCAGCTCCGCACAACGACCTGCCCATCGCTAGGAAGGCATCGCTGCAATGGTTCCTAGCCAAGCACAAGGACTGCCTCATGGAGCGCGCACCCTACACCTCTGTGGGGTCACTCCTGGCCTCTCGCCCTCGCTAGGAGTCACGCGGGGAGAAGCCGAGGGTTTCCCACAGGGAGAGAGCGCGGAGGTACGCGAGCTCAAGTCCCGGAATAAAATGCGGATAAGATGCGGATTAAATGGCCATTAAATTGTCTAGAAAAAAAGGACATGTCCTTCTTACATGAGCGCCCCGAGTATTTATAGACCATATCCGAGGTCGCCGTGAAATTACACTAGGGTCGGACCTAAGGGGACAATGGCTACACAACAATCAAGGGTACGGCGATAATTCCCTTCCCTTGGTCAACCACTTCCGTGCCCTAATCGCCTGGACGGGGCTGTCGGCTGCAATCACTAGAGCGGACCATTCCCAGACCTGTGCCCGCTCTCCGTCGCCGGAGCTTCGCTCACCGCGGATCTTTAGCGAGGTAGGCCTTCAACCGCCACACCTGCGCACATGGATGAAACAAGACGAGCAGAAACCCTCACGGCGAAGGTGGGCGACCACCGCGAGGCTCATTAGATGGGCCAGCATTGGGTCGGGAACAGGGGTAGGAGCTGTGTCGGGCGAGCCTTCCCCCAATAGTAGCCCCTCGAGGGTTGGGCCTAGCATGACGGGTCGGAGCAGCGCTGAAATTCGAGAAGGGGAGTAGGCAAGGGTACTTGGCCTACGGCCCGGTCCAGCGACGCCCCCATCGTGCTCAACCAGTGCTGGGCTTTAACGTTTTTGGGCCTTGTTTTCTGTTAGAAGTGGAAAGCGATTGCCGGGGGGTGCTCCTGTTTTTCTCGGGATTTGTGGCAGTCTCCAGGCTCCTGCTTTGTCAGGATACGTGACGCCTGCCTACCTTTGATGCGGGTGTTGGGTGCCTATAAATACCTGTTTTACGTTTAGGGTTTTGTTGTTCGGTTTGTTGCTTGCTGGCGAGTTGCTATCGTTGGTTCTGTTGAGCAAAGGTTTTGCTAGTGCGAGGGTTGGCGCCTTGAGTGAGGGTTCTTGTTTTCTTGGTTTGCCTATTGTTTACTCAACTCTTTGGGTGGGTGTTAGTTGTTTTTGTTGTTTTGTATTCCCTTCAATTTTGATTTTGCTGATGGGTCCCTTGTCTATTTTGTCTTGTAGTTTGATGGCTCGCGTGAAGAAGACTGCAAAGCTTGTGGACAGCCCAGAGGCTGTTGATTCTTCCTCAGATGTGGCTGTGAGCTTCGAGTTCGGTCTCTCGAGGGTTACTTTGAGGGAGTTGGACGAGTTTGCAAAGCTGAGTTGGTTTCCTCGTGATCTGGCGAGGCCGTCAGAGGGGGAGATTGGTCGTAATCCTTGGGGTGATGAGGTGGTGGTTTTCAAGGAATTCTTCTTGGTGGGGTTGAGGTTTCCACCGCATCCCCTTATGGTTGGGGTTTTAAAGAGGTTCAATCTCAAATTTCATCAGTTGAATCCCTCTAGCTTTATAAAGCTTGGTATTTATGTCTGAGGTTGCAAGTCTCAAGGGGTGGAGCTAGATCTCGATGGTTTCATACGACTTCACAGGGTTCATCCTCAGCCTCGCAAGACGCCCGTTGATGGGAAGACTATTTATGGGCAGTATGGTGTTTACACTTTTTGTTTATCGCCAAGGAGTGGAAGTCCCGGTTCAGGCTTAGAAGAACAAGTGGGCCTCGCCCTGGACTGAGAACTGGTTTTATTTGAAGCTAGGAAGCGAGCCCAATCTCTATGGGAAATTGTTGAGGCTTGATAATGTTACTTCAAAGGCTATCATGACCGATGGTTGTGTAGCTGCAGTGGATGCGCTTAGGGCTCTATCGCGCCGCCAATGTGCACGAGATCTGGTTGAGGAGTTTCTCTACACGAAGGTGCTGCCCCTGAGGGCCAACCAGTCCTGGTTCAAGGTTAAGGATGATGAAATGTACCAGGGTCGAGGCTTGAAGGGTCTTAGGATTGATGTTAAGCAGGCTTGGCCGAGGGTACTTCAGAAGAGCAGTTCAACTATGGCGGGGATCAAGGCTATTTATAGGGAGGTGGCGGAGGTGGCTAAGGAGCTTGTCGGTGCTCTTGGTAGTTCCAAGATAAAAGCGATACGAGCTACCCTGGTCGACCACCATCATGTCAACCGGGCCTTCGATCTGCTTGGGTTGACATATCTAAATTGGCCGCAGGCAGAGCTTACAGATGCCGAGGGTGGCAAAAGGAGGAAGAGGTCTAAGGCGAGTGGTAAGCCTGCTGCTATGTCTCATCGCGGTGGACGCGATTAAGGTCGTACTAGAACGTCAAAGGTTGCGAGGGTTGCGCGGTGAAGGTCCCCGCCTAGTTTGTTTCCTCTCCTATCGTGGGTGTGAAGCCTGGGTCATTGGTTGTGCCGACATCTAAGCCGAGTGGGGGTGATGGAGCTCGTCAGGCATGGAAGGTGCCAACCCTCGCTGACTTGGCTATTTCGCAAGTGATTTCTGATGATGAGGATGAGGAAGAGGAAGAAAAGGAGGGTAACAACAAGGGTTTAGGAGGGCAGAAGAGTAGTGGGTCGAGTTCCTCTAGTGGGAGCAGTGGTTCTGATGATGGTGGAGTTGATGATGATGATGATGATGGAGACGATGATGTGGAGGTGGAGGATTCTCAGAACCCTCGTATTGTGGATTCGGTGGAGCTTGGATCGGAAGGTGGTTAGACCAAAGAAGATCGAGAAGTTGTTTCTCGTGCTGAGGATGCCAGTTTGATGCCTCACAGCTGTCGTGATCATATTGATAACTTTTACATCAAAAGTTGTGTCCTTGGAACTTAGATCAGTTTGCTTACTCCCCATCTATAGGGGCCTCTAGAGGGATTATTACAATATGGAATAGCAGCTTATTTGATGGTAGTGTTGTACATATCAACTCCTATGCTATCACTGTCAAACTTCTTTGCAAACTTGACAATAAGATTATCCATGTCACTAACATTTATGGTCCTGCTAGCTCTCCTCATAAAATGGGCTTCATTACTTGGCTAATGAACTTTGACACAAGTGACTTTGATGATTGGGTTTTAGGTGGTGACTTCAATCTTATCAGATACCCTGAAAATAGAAACAAACCAGGTGGGGATCAAACATAGATGAACTTGTTTAATGAAGCTATTTCAGATTTAGACCTTGTTGACATACCCTTTAGTGGTAGAAACTACACCTGGAGCAATATGTAGAATGTTGCACTATTGGTGAAACTGGACTAGATCTTCACCTCTGCTAGTTGGACTCTGACCTTCCTTGCTATGTTTGTTCAACCATTATCTAAGCCTGTCTCTGACCACATTCCATATATTCTTCATATTGGAAGTAGCATTTCCAAATCAAAAAATTTAGATTTGAAAATTTCTAGGTTGAGCACCCTGGTTTTTATTGATATAGTTAAACTGCACTGGAATTCATCTCCCTATCATGCTAATGCAGCTCAAACCATGTCAGCAAAATTCAAGCAGGTCAAAGCTGGACTCAAAACCTGGAGCAAAAAGTTATCAAATTTGAGTAAACTCATTTATAACTATAATTGGGTTCTACTCCTCCTTGATGGGCTTGAAGATCAGAGAGAGTTGTCTAGACAGGAAACGACTTTTAGAGCACTAGTTAAAAGTCATTTAGCCACCCTTCTTGAGGCTAAGAGAGTTTACTGGAAACAAAGAAACTCTATTAGATGGGTTAAACTAGGAGATGAGAATATGCACTTTTTTCATTTCATGGCAACCATAGCTCATAAGAGAAATTTTATTACTGATCATGAACAAAAGGCTAATATGTTATGGACAAACTACAAAAATGGATTGGGTGTTAGCGAATTTACTGACATTTCCTATAATCTTAGCATCTTACTACTAATGCACAATCTGGAAGATTTGGATGCTGATTTCAATGATATTGAAATTGGAGTTATT